AATCAATATATTCCCAGAAAGAAAATACTGAAACCAACTTAAGAAAAAATAGAAAATCTATATATATCTATAACAAGTAAAGAGATTGAGTTAGTGATTTTAAAACTTCCATAAAGAGAAGTTGAAGCCCAGATGACTTTAGTTGTAAATTCTTCCAATGTTTAAAGATGAATTGATACAGATTTTCACAAACTCTTCCAAAAATAAAGGAAGAACTTCCCCAATGAAAGCCAGTATTACCCTGATGCCCAAACCAAAGACAGCATAAGAAAACTGCAGATCAATATCTCTTATGAATTTAGATGAAAAATCCTCAAGGAAATACTAGAAAATTGAATCTAACAGCATGTAAAATGAATTTTTACCATGATTAAGTGGATGTATCCCCAGAATGCAAGGTTTGTTTAATACCTGAAAACCAATTAGTGAAATATATCATATCGTTAGAATAAAGAACAAAAACCCATGATCACCTCAATAGATGCAGAAAAAGCATTTGACAAAATCCAGCACCATTTCATGATAAAAACAATATAAACTAGAAACAGAAGGGAACTTTACCTGATAAAGAGCATCTATGATAATCCCCGAGTTAACATCATACTTAATGTTGAAAGACTGAATGCTTTCCCCCTTTCTTATCGGTAACAAGATAAGAATGCCCTCCTCACCTCTTCTATGCAACATTGTACTAGAGGTTTTAGCCTGAGCAATTAAGGAAGAAAAAGAAATAAAAGGCATTCAGATTGATAAAGAAGTAAAACTATCTTTATCCACAGTTAACATGATCTTGGATATGGAAAATCCTAAGGGATATGCTAAAAAACCTAAATTAATAAATGAGTTCATCAAGGTTGCAGGATACAAGATCAATATACAATAATCATTTATATCTCTATATACTAGCAATAAACAATCCAAAAATGAAAATAAAACAATTCCATCAGATGGGACTGTATCAAAAGGGATTGCACCAAGAGGAGATAAAATAAGTATAAATTTAACAAAAGAAGTACAAAACTTGTACTTTACAAAACTAGAAAACATTGCTAAAAAAAAATTAAAGAGGACCTAAGTAAATGGAAAGACATCTGTATTCATGGATTAGAAGACTAAACATCATTAAAAGGCCAGTACTACCCCCAAGTTGATCTACAGATTCAATACAATACCTATCAGAATCCCAGCTGGTTTCTTTGTAGAAATTGGCAAGTAGATATAAAATTAATATGGAAGTTCAAGTGACCCAGGGTAGCCAAAACAATCTTGAAAAAGAACAAAATCTGGGGCGCCTGGGTGGCTCAGTCAGTTAAGCGTCTGCCTTCGGCTCAGGTCATGATCTCAGGGTCCTGGAATCAAGCCCTACATTGGGCTCCCTGCTCAGCGGGGAGTTTGCTTCTTCCTCTCCTCCTCCCCCTTGCTTGTTCTCTCTCTCTCTCTCTCTCTCAAATAAATAAAATCTGTAACCTTGGGTTAGGTAATGCTTTCTTAGATCCACATCAAAAGCACAAGCCACAACAGAAAAAATAGATTAAAAGGATTTCCTCAAATTTTCCAGCACCATTTGTTGAAGAGACTGTCTTTTTCATTGTATATTCTTTCCTGCTTTGTCAAAGATTAGTTGACCATATAGTTGGGGGTCCATTTCTGTGTTTTCTATTCCATTCCATTGATTTATGTGTCTGTTTTTGTGCCAGTACTATACTGTCTGGATGACTACAGTTTTGTAATATAGCTTGAAGTCCAGAATTGTGATGGCTCTAGCTTTTGCTTTTCTTTTTCAAGATTGCTTTGGCTCTTTGGGGTCTTTTGTGGTTCCATACAAATTTTAGGATTGTTTGTTCTAGCTCTCTGAAAAATGCTGGTGGTATTTTGATAGGGATTGCATTAAATGTGTAGATTGCTTTGGGTAGTTATAGACATTTTAACAATATTTGCTCTTCTGAAACATGAGCATGGAATGTTCTGTTTCTTTGTGTCTTCCTCAGTTTCTTTCATAAGTGTTCTATAGTTTTCAGAGTACAGATCTTTTACTTCTTTGGTTAGATTTATTTCTAGGTATCTTATGGATTTTGGTGCAATTGTAAATGGGACCGATTCCTTGATTTCTCTTTCTGCTGCTTCATTGTTGGTGTATGGAAATGCAACAGATTTCTTTGCATTGATTTTATGTCCTACAACTTTGATGAATTCCTGCATCAGTTCTAGCAATTTTTTGGTGGAGTCTTTTGGGTTTTCTACATAAAGTATCATGTCATCTGCAAAGAGTGAAGGTTTGACTTCTTTGCCAATTTGAATGCCTTTTATTTCTTTTTGTTGTCCGATTGCTGAGGCTAAGACTTCCAGTACTGTGAACAACAGTGGTGAGAGTGGACATCCCTGTCTTGTTCCTGACCTTAGGGGAAAAGCTCTGTTTTTCCCGTTGGAGGATGTATTAGCTGTGGGTCTTTCATATATGGCCTTTATGATGTTGAGGTATGTTCCCTCTATCCCTACTTTATAGAGGGTTTTTATCAAGAAAGGATGCTGTATTTTGTCAAATGCTTTTTCTGCATCATTACTACTCAGCCATAAAGGAGAATGAAATCTTGCCATTTGCAGTGATGTGGATGGAGCTAGAGTGTATTACGCTAAGTGAAATAAGTCAGTTAGAGAAAGACAAATATGTTATGATTTCACTCATTTGAAGAATTTAAGAAACAACAGATGAATGTAGGGGAAAGGGAAAAAAAAGAGAAGGAGGCAAACCATAGAAGAGACTCTTTTTTTTTTTTTAAAGATTTTTTTTATTTATTTATTTGAGAGAGAGAAACAGCATGAGAGGAGAGAGGGTCAGAGGGAGAAGCAGGCTCCCCGCTGAGCTTGGAGCCCGATGTGGGACTCGATCCCGGGACTCCGGGACCATGACCTGAGCTGAAGGCAGTCGCTTAACCAACTGAGCCACCCAGGCGCCCCACAGAAGAGACTCTACACTATAGAGAACAAACCGAGGGTTGCTAGAGGGCAGGTAGGTGGGGGATGGGATAAATTGGTGATGGGTGTAAAGGAGGGCACCTGTTGTGATGAGCACTGGGTGTTATATGTAAGTGATGAATCACTAAATTCTACTCCTGAAACTAATATTACACTGTATGTTAACTAACTGGAATTTAAATAAAAACAAACAAAAAAAGAGTTGAATTGTACCTTTAAGTGGGTGAGTTGTATGGTATGTAAATTATAATCCAATAAAGCTATTGCCAAAAAGAAGTGATTCTAAAAAAAATTGACGCTCCATTTTATATTCCTCCTGGCAGAGTGTATGAAATTGCCATTGCCCATTTTAATGTTAGTATGCACTAAGAAATTTGCCAATTTGATAAACTAGAGCAGTGGTTCAACTGAAAGAGATTTTGCTCCCCTGTGGCCATTTAGCAATGTCTGGAGACTTTTTTTTTTTAAGATTATTTATTTATTTATTTGAGAGAGAGAGAGTGCACGCACAAGTTGGGGGAAGGTCAGAGGGAAAGAAAGAAGCAGACTCCCTGCTGAGCATGGAGCCCAACACAGCTCAATCCCAGAACGCTGAGATCATGATCTGATCCTAAGTCAGACACTTAACTGACTGAGCCACCAAGGTGCCCCTGGAGACAGTTTTGATTGTCGCAACTGGGGTGGAGGGATGCTATTGGCCTCTAATGAGTAGAGGTATGCTGCTAAATATCCTACAGTGCATAAGGCACCTCCCTACACCAAATAATTATCCAACCCAAAACATCAGTAGTGTCAAAATTAAGAAACCCTGGACTAGAAATAGCATCTTGTTTCATTTTGTATTTATTTGATTATTAGTAAGGGTAGTTTTTTTTCCATATGTTTACTAATGAGTTGTATTTTGTAAATCTTCTGTTCGTATCATTTGTTCATATTTCTCATCATTTCATATGAGTTCCTTTTAGTAGTAAGATTTAACTTACTGAGTTTTTTAACTTATTTTACTTATTGAGTTTTTTTTAATTTTTTTAAAACTTGAGCATCTGTTGAGATGAGCATTGGGTGTTATACACAACTAATGAATCGTTGAACACTACAACAAAAACTTATGTACTATATTTTGGCTAACTGGACATAATGAAAAAAAAACTTGAGTATATTTGACACACAATTTTACATTAGTTTTGGTGTACAACATAATGATTCAGTAAGGTTATACAGTGTAGCTACCATTTGTTACCATACAAACTGAGTTTATATTCTTTCAGTTGTTTCCTTGTAAATTTTGGTTAGGTTTATATTGACTATTGCTATGTTTATTTTTTATATGGTTATACATCATTTTTAATTGTATCGTCTAGACAGTCCTTCCTCTATCTGCTCACTCCTCCCCCATAATTTCATCTTTATTAAATTCTCTTTTCTTAGAGTTTTATTTTTTCACATTTAACTTTTTAAATATATGTATAATTTATTATAATGTGTATTATGAGATAAAGAATACTTTTTTCCTAAATAGCAATATCTGGTTTTCCTCCTTTTGAAGAAACATTTGGCTTACAGAGCATTTTTGAGGCTCAAGAAAACCTTCATAAAATGAAACTTTCCACACGTTTATGCAACAGAGGAAATGTGCAGTTACTCCTTATCTTCCTTAACTATGAAGGACCATAATATTCTACAAGGTAGTTAGGTGTTTGTAACTCACCTAACTCAGCACAAAGCAGTGTCATGTATAGCACCATGTCAGCCTTGCAGAAATATATAAAGAAATATAAATGCTGGGAATGGAAATCCTTTGCAGTTCGGGATTATTAATGTTAAATTAATGAAATTTTTTATATGATCAGAGAGTTGGAGAAAGTGATACTGCATGTGTGTATGTTTGGTAAGAAGGAAAATATAATTTCTAATTAAGAAATTAGAAGAGGTTGTCAGTTTATAACATAATACAGAAATTTTATGAGTCTCTGATAATCAGTTAAATGAATGGGAATAAGTATAGATATCTTCCTATTATCGTACAGATGGAGAATGAGTTAGATTCTGCTCGCTCTGAAATAGAACTCCTCAGGAGTCAGATGACAAATGAGAGAATCTCCATGCAGAATCTAGAAGCTTTGCTGGTGGCCAATCGAGACAAAGAATATCAGTCTCAGATAGCGCTTCAAGAAAAAGATTCTGAAATTCAGCTTCTTAAAGAACACCTTTGTTTGGCAGAAAATAAAATGTGAGTTGGCTAGCAATATAGTAGCATGAAGTCATATTTTTAAAATTTTTGATACTTTATAGGTTAGTAGAATTTTAAAGCTGGAATTCAGGCAATTTAGTGCCCATCTTTTGCCATTAATTAAACTGAGAACCAGAAATACTGTGATTTGCCTAAGATTTAGTACTCATTTCTATTATATGTTTATCTAAATTTAAAATTTAACCATCTTTGTTGATTATTTCCACAGAGATTTGGATATAATAGAATGTCTGACCTAAAATATTACCTTTTAGAAATATTATGACAAGTTTTTAGAAAAAAATTAAGCACTACTGAAACCAGAGGAATTTTTCTGTTTATGGACCCACCTGGTATTGCTGCCTAGTATTTAGACTTGTCACTTAATATTTCCTTATGCACCTTTAAGTATGTGTTGGGTACCTGGAAGAACTCCTACATTCACAGAATACTGAAGACTTCCCTTAGAGCACTGATTTTGTTTTTTGTTTTTTTAAGCATCCCTAGCTCCATTAGCATCTTATTATAAGACCCTTGGCTAGAAGGTTGGGTAGAAATGCCTGCCTGGACACTGAATGTTTTATTATTAAACTTGGTGACCTCTCACAAAAACTGATGGGGACCCTTAGCCTCTATTGTTATCTGTCCCGTCTATAACACTTTTTCATTCAGCCTCAACTCTGCCCTCCCATCTGAGCGTGGGACCTTGGGGGGAAGGATAGGAATCATGGTCTCAGGAATCAGTCACTCCTAGGAGCCCCTGACTGAGGAAAGGCTGCAAAGCCAGGGCCAGTTTCCTTGAGAAACTGTTTTCAGGTTATGGCAGCTGTGAGTCATTCTTTTCAGTCACTGTAGCTGGGCTTTTTGTAATATCTTCAACTGGTTCTGCAGGATCACTTTCTCAAGCTGGTATTTGGAAATCTACCTTAGTGAAATATGCCCAACCCCCTCACCTTTAGGGATGCATTCTGTTTTAGACTGGTTGGTAAGTATAATCACTTAGAACTGGTAAGCATAATAAACTTTTGTGTTCTTAATCTCTAAAGTTTAGATTTTAGCAGTCAACAGTGCTGTCTGGCAAGCAAAGAGGATAGAATATCCTGTGCAAGCAGCATTCATTGCTTTCATCATCTTCCTTATGACAGTGTGCCTTATCACAGAGTTTTTGAGGCATTGTTTGGCCCTAAGGAGGATCCTGTTAAATTGAAGAGATTTTATGTTTTTAACAGTTTGTATATCAAATTTCATTATAAGTATATACAAAACACTTGATTTAATAAAAATATATAATAGGACTAATAATGGTGTTGATTATTTGGTATAATACTACTTTGCATATAATACCTTAAAGTACTTTAAAAAATAAATAATATAGATAACATAATATTATCCCATCTAAACATAGGGAAACAGAGAAGGTTTAACTAATTGAATGGACTGAGAGAGCTTAGCTTTTTCAAGTAGGCTACTTTCACACTTACTACTTCTAAAACTGCCACATTTTAGATGTACTAATATATCCATAAAAATCACAGTCTGGCATGGTTCCAGCTGAGGAACCGTTGCCAACATGGTTTAATGTACTAAGTCCTAGCCATATTTTAAATTTAATCAACTGTCACTCATACTTTTTTACACAGGGCCATCCAGAGTAGAGATGTGGCTCAGTTCAGAAATGTTGTAACACAGTTGGAAGCTGATTTAGACATTACCAAACGACAACTAGGGACGGAGCGCTTTGAAAGGTAAGTTTGTCTCTATGCAGTGTTCAGTCTGGAAAGCATTTTTTTTTTTTTAAATAACAGATTTTGGTAATTTCATGATGGTTAGCTTTTAAATTAGGAACTGAACTACAGTTTTATGACAGTATTAATACAGCACTGGATATAAAGTTTAAAAGTCTCACTATTTTGCTTCAGGGAGAGGGCTGTACAAGAACTTCGCCGCCAGAATTACTCAAGTAATGCTTATCATATGAGTTCCACAATAAAGCCAAATACAAAATGTCATTCACCAGAACGTGCTCACCATCGATCTCCTGACCGAGGCCTAGATCGATCGTTAGAAGAGTAAGTAGTTCAAGGATCCATTCTCTGAGACCATATAGCAATATACAGGGAATATTTGAGGGAGTAAGGAAGCTCAAATCAATCTATCATTAATAGTGCTATTTAAACACAATTACATGATTAGGTATACCAACAAATATAAAGTATTTTGATCATTATTTTATATAAATTTGCTAAAATGAAAGATCTTTATTCTATCTAATGTTTACATAAATTATATTTTTAAAATCTAATTTACTTTTATTCTAAAACTTAAATTTTTCCATATACTTACATTAACAAAATATTGGTTAATTATAGCACCATAAAATACTTATTCTTTAGGAAAGTAGTTTATTTTTCAGAGGCAAATATTTTAGATATATTCCTATATGTCACAAATTTTGTAAAAACACTTCTATTTGGAAATAAATTCAAACTTATAAGAAGTTATAAAAATAAAATAATGCAGAGAACAGCTATATACCTTTTACCCCTACTCATTGTCATTAAAATTTTACTCCATTGCTTTCTCTGTGTTTGAGCCAACACATTTGCTGTCTTATGTACTCACATTTTTGCATATGTTTCCGCTCTCTCCATGCACACACGGACATACACACACACATTTTAAAAACATAACCAATACCTCCAGTTCCAAACCACCTTCCCAGGTTTCTTCCTTCCCTTTTTTCATTTTGTATTTGTATGTCCTTTTTTCTACAATGAGAATCCGGGCTCAACATCAGTGTGTTTATCAACAATATATACATGTTACTCTTTTGCTCAATCCCAGAGTGCATCTAAAATAGTTTCAGAATTTCTTCACCTATGTCACTACATTAAATAGACCAACATAAAAGTTCATGATCTATTTGTAATTCCTGTTTCCATACACTACTCTGCCCAAATCTTGAGGGCATAGCATATAGTCAAATATTGAGTTTATAGATTACTTGGATTAATTCCTTTTTTCCCCTTTTACTATGATTATGATATGCATTTAAAATAACATTAGATTCATTTACTTCAATTTGCTTTCACTTTTCATTTTTCCTCTTCCTAGCTTTTTCCTTGATTTAGCTTTATTTTTGAATATGTAGGTCAATATGCTTTTAAAAGTCAAAACTCTGCAAAAAGTAATACTCAGAGAAGTGTTACTTTCTCCTGTATATCTTCCATTCCATGTCCCCATATTGCTTTATAGTTTTATGATAATGACATTCAGATGTATTTTTCTTATTTTTTCATATGCAAAGGTAGCATACTATATATGCTTCTTTTCACTTTGCTTTTCTCACTGCTTTTAGAAGTCACTTCATATTCATAGTGTTCCTTTTTTTTTTTTAAAGATTTTATTTATTTATTTGAGACAGAGAGAATGAGAGAGAGAGAGCACGTGAGAGGGGGGAGGGTCAGAGGGAGAAGCAGGCTCCCTGCCGAGCAGGGAGCCCGATGCGGGACTCGATCCAGGGACTCCAGGATCATGACCTGAGCCGAAAGCAGTCGCTTAACCAACTGAGCCACCCAGGCGCCCCATAGTGTTCCTTTACAGCTGCATAGTATTCCATTTTATGGATATGCCATAATTATGCAACTGACCTCCTATATTTGGACATCTAGGTAGTTTTCAACAATTTGCAATTACAAATAAGGCTGTAATGAATGTGTTTTCATATTGGTGGAGGTGTATCTTAAGGATAAATTCCCAGAAGCAGGATTTCTGGGTCAAGGGGTAAATGTGTATGTATATAGTTTGGTTAAGTAGTGCCAAATTACCCTCTATAGGGGTTGTAGTATTTTGCACTCCCACCAGCTGTGGGTGAGAGTGCCTGTTTCCCTACAGCCTAATCAGCAGAGTATACTGTCAAGTTCTGAATTTTTGCCAGTATGGTGGGTAAGAAATGGTATTTCAGTGTAGTTTTAATTTGCATTTCTCTTTTTATGAGTGAATTTGAATATCTTGTCATATGTTTAAGGGCTGTTTTATATCTCTCTTTTTTTAATTGTCCATTTCTTTTGCCCATTTTTCTAATGGAATATTCTCTTTTTGTTAAATTTTTTTTATAAATGTGGGAAATTAGTCTTTTACTACTGATATATGTTGCAAATATTTTCTTTCATTTTGTCATTTTTCTTTTGATTTTACTCTATTTTTCCCATGGAAAAGTTTCTATTTTTATGTAGTCAAATTTTAAAATGTATTTTAAGCATCCACATTTCTGTTTATAGTTAGAAAAATCTTTCCTTATACCCAGATAGATAATAGAGGAAATCAGTGTTTTTAGTTTAAATGTTTTAGTACTTATATAAGTTTTGTATATACATACACTTTTATATATATATATGGTTTTACTTTTTACATTTAGATTTCTGATCCATTTAGAGTTTCTTTTGTATATGGTATGAAGAGTGGATCTAATTTTACTTTTTTCCAAATGACTAACCGGTTGTCTCAAGATCATTTATTAAAAAGATTTTGTCCAGGGCACCTGGGTGGCTCAGTTGGTTGGGCGACTGCCTTCGGCTCAGGTCATGATCCTGGAGTCCTGGGATCGAGTCCCGCATCGGGCTCCCTGCTCGGCAGGGAGTCTGCTTCTCCCTCTGACCCTCCTCCCTCTCATTCTCTCTGTCTTAAATAAATAAATAAAATCTTTAAAAAAAAAAAAAAAGATTTTGTCCAAGTGATTCAAGTCTCTCTCTGGACTTTCTCTTCTGTTCCTTTGGGTTTATTTATGTTAAAGTCCCACACTATTTTAATTATAGACCCTTTGTAATATTTTTAATTTTTTTTTAAAGATTTTATTTATTTATTTGAGAGAGAGAATGAGAGAGAGGGAGAGTATGAGAGGGGGAGGGTCAGAGGGAGAAGCTGACTCCCTGCCGAGCAGGGAGCCCGATGCGGGACTCGATCGGGGGACTCCAGGATCATGACCTGAGCCGAAGGCAGTCGCTTAACCAACTGAGCCACCCAGGCGCCCAGTAGTATTTTTAATTTTTTAGGACTAGTCTGATGGTTTGCGGGTAAACTGGCTGTCCAAAAAAGGGGAGGGAGAAGCCCTGGTTTATAGCATTTGTCAATTTCAGTGGTGTAAATATGCCCACTGTGGCCAGTTTACTGGCCAGTTTGTTTGTTTGCTTCTTTCTTTCTTTCTTTCTTTTTGTTGAAGTGCAGTTGACATACAATGTTATAGTCTCAGGTGTACAATACAGTGATTACACAGTTCTGTACATTCTATAAATATATTATACAGTTTCAAGCTACCAAACTTAGTTTAACCATGAGCTCACAAAATTTCTGAATATTTACAATCAGCTGTGAGCCGGCTCCAGCATACCAATAGGCTAGTGCCTATAAGAACTCTTCCTTTTAAGTATTTGCCTACATTTTCATGCGAGTTTATTTTCCATATTACGTAACTACTGAATCGTTGAACACTACAACAAAAACTTATGATGTTCCATCTGAAATTTAGTGTCAGCTTGTCTAGCTCCAATTTGAAAAGCCCATTGGAATTTTTTTTTAATATATTTTTTTAAGATTTTATTTATTTATCAGAGAGAGAGAGAGAGAGACAGAGGCAGGCAGAGGGAGAAGCAAGGCTCCTTGCTGAGCAAGAAGCCCGATGTGGGACTCGATCCCAGGACCCTGGGATCATGACCTGAGCCGAAGGCAGATGCTTAACTGACTGAGCCACCCAGGCGTCCCAAGCCCATTGGAATTTTTATTAGAATCATATTAAATTTATAAATTAACTTGGGGAGAACTGGCATCTTGGTAATGTTGAGCTGTCCTAACCAAAAAAAAGAGATGTCTTTCCATTTTTTCAAACTCACATTGTGTCATTCAAGAAGAATAATAAAAAAATAAAATAAAATAAAAAGCTTTTTTTAATTAAAATAAGAATGTGTTGCAGTTTTCTTTATATAGGTTTTGAACATTTCTTAAGTTTATTCCTAAATATTTTATCTTTAGGTTTTTCTCCCCATTCATTTTATCTTCAAAAAATGCTATTTTTGCATGTTAATTTATCATGTTATCTTGCTAAATTTTTTTATTGTTTCATTAAGTTTTGTCATTGATTCTTTAGGGGAGTCCAGGTATGTTATCATGTCATCTGCAAAAAAGGGATCATTTTATTTCTTCTTTTCCTATTTTTATCTCTTGAATTGTATTCTCTAATTAATTGTAATAGCTAGCATCTTCAGAATAGTGATAAATAGTAGTGGAGAAAATGGGCATCCTTGTTTTGATTCTGACCTTAAGTGGGAATGCCTCTAGGGTTTGTCAAATCAATGTAAGATGTTGGGTTTAGGACTGAAGTATAAATGTTTTATGATATCCACCTATTTTTATTTTCTCAGGAATTTTTTTTATTAGGAATGGGTGTTTAATTTTTTCAAGGGCTTTTTCAGCATCTATAAAGATACAATTTTTCTCTTCAGAACTGTCAATATGTGAATTATAGATTTTCAGATATTGAACCATCTTTGAATTTATGGTATAAACCTTACTTGGTCTTAGTGTATTCTATTCTTAATGTTCACTTATATTTTATTTTAGATTTCTGTATCAGTATTCGTAATATTGGTCTATAACTTTTTTCTTTGTACTCTCTTATCAGGTTTAGATATAAGTGTTATATTTGCTGCAAAAAAGGATTTAGAGTTTTTCATTTACTGTGCTTTGAAACAATTTGTGTAGTTTGTGATTATCTGATCTCTAAGGATTAGTTTGGGTTCACCTGTGAAACCATACAGCCTTGGTTCTTTCTTTTTTGTGAGGTATACTTCCTTGATGAATTTTTCTGGTTTTTTTGGGGAGGGGGGATTGTTTTAAGCTTTCTATCTCTATTCATCTAAAAATAATTATTTTCTCTAGGTTTTTTTTTTTTTAAGATTTTATTTATTTGAGAGAGAGAGCATGAGTGCATGCATGAGCGGGGGAGGGGCAGAGGGAGAGGGAGAAGAGGACTCCCCACTGTAGTCTCAATGTGGGGCTCATCCCAGGACCATGGGATCATGACTTGAGCCAGAGGCAGATACTTAACCAACTGAGCCATGAGGTGCCTCTCTCTAAGTTTTTGAATTTATTTGCATAAAAGTAACCAATGCTTTATCTTATGAATTTTAAAATTTCCTTTGTATCAATAGTTATATCCCATTGTCATTTCTTAATTGTATGTATGTGCTTTCCTCTTCTATTTCTTTTTTTTTTTTTTTTTAAGATTTTATTTATTTATTCATGAGAGACAGAGAGAGAGAGAGAGGCAGAGGGAGAAGCAGGCTCCCAAGGAGCAGGGAGCCCGATGCGGGACTCGATCCCAGGACCCTGAGATCATGACCTGAGCCGAAGGCAGACGCTTAACCATCTGAGCCACCCAGGCGCCCTCCTCTTCTATTTCTTTGTTGCCTTCGCCAGTGATTTGTTTACTTTGTTTATTGCTTCAAAGAACCAGCATTTTGATTTATTGATTTATTTTTCTTTATCTTATTAATTCATGGTTTTGTTCATATTATTTCTTTCCTCTGCTTTTTATTTACTTTGTTGGTTTTTTCCCCTTAGTATTTTAAGTTAGGAATTTAATTCATTTATTGCCATTCGTTCATTCTTATTAATGTAAATATTTAGGGCTCTGAATTTTCCAGTGATCAATGCTTTAAATGTATCCCATAGATTCTGATATGTCATGTTTTTGTTATTATTTTTTTAGAAATTCTTTAATTTCTATTTTGTTTTCACTTTTACCCAAGAGTTATTTGATACAAAATCTTGTAGTTTCCAATAAGAAGAGCTTTTTGTGTTTCCATTTCATTTTTAAATTTCTAGTGTTATTGTATTGTGATTAGAGAGTATTGTTTATAATATTTCTATTGTGGAAGCTACTGATGTTTTCTTTGTACTTTACTACATGATCAATTTTTGTCGCTAGTTCACGTGCACCTGAAAAGATATTCTTTCTTATCAGGATATATATTTCTAGTGTATATGTATCCTTTTTGATTTTATTTAGTTCTTTTATGCCATTGCTTAATTTTTGTTCATTTGGCCTGTTTTACTAAGAATGGTACTTTAAAATCTCCTGTTATTATTATGTTTTTATTTCTTTTTATATCTCCTATAAATTTTGTTTTATGTAGGTTTACTGTTTTATTTGCTGCATGGATATTCTGAACTGTCATATCTACATTGTGGGATGTGAATTTTATGAAGTGTACTTTTCTGATGCATTTAATTTTTTGGAGGTGGGAGGTGCTTGTCTAGTATTTGAGTTGCAAATACTTAATATCTCCAACTGCCTTGCAAATCTTGGTCCATCTCTTTATTTTTAGCTTTTCTGAGTCACTGAATTTTAAGTATATCTCTTATTTATAGTATGGATTTAAGTTTTGCTTTATGAGTCATTTTAAAATAATGGATGAGGTAAGCTTTTTCACATTATTGATATGACTGTGAAATTTGATCTCAACTCTGTCGTATTATCTTATGGTAACTGTGTTTATCATGTGACATTTATTGTATTTCTCAATTTGGCTATTCCTTGCTTTTGGCCATTTCTTTTGATATTCAAGGTTTGCATTTTATTATAGTAGTCACCTTTCTATTAATAATTTTAATAGTGCCATTAATTCCCTTTTTTCTTAATCTTTTGCTGTTAGTTTTAAATGGTGTATTTTGACTGCTACCTATTACCTAGACAACAGTCAGTGTACTTAATTTACTTTCCCCAACCACTGATCTGTTTACTGTCCCTATAGTTTTACCTTTTCAAAGTTGTCCTATAAATGGAATCATGTATGTAGCCTCTAGTGACTGACTTTCACACAGCATAATATATTTGAGATATATCCAGGTTGTTGTATGGATCAGATGTTGTTGCATGTTCCTTTTAACTGCTGAGCAGTATTTCCTTGTATGGCTGCACCACAGTTTTGTTTGCTTTGTTATACTTTTTATTTTGATTTTTTTTTTAAGATTTTATTTATTTATTTGACAGAGAGAGACACAGTGAGAGAGGGAACACAAGCAGGGGGAGTGGGAGAGGGAGAAGCAGGCTCCCCTAAGAGTAGGGAGCCCGACGCGGGGCTCCATCTCAGGACCCTGGGAACATGACCTGAGCTGAAGGCAGACGCTTAAGGACTGAGCCACCCAGGCGCCCCATGTTATACTTTTTATTTTGAAATGACTACAGTCTCACAAGTAGTTGCAAAAATAGTACAGATAATCCCACATATCCTTACCCCAACTTCCCCAATGTATCTTACAAACCAGGAAATTGATATCAGTACAATATGATTAACTAGGCCATAGGCCTTATTCAGATTTCATTTTTACATGCACTCATATGTATGTGTGTGCAGGGTTTTTTACACAACACTCATATACCACAATTACAAGCACAATACTATACTATATTGCCCATCAGCACCAAGGAACCTGCTCCCTCATATGATAACTTTTCATAGTCACAGCCCTCCCCTCTTCCTCCCTGGCAAACATTAATTTGTTCTCCATATCTTTAATTCTGTCATTTTGAGAATGTTATATAAAGGGAATCACACACAGTGTATAACAATTTGAGATTGGCTTTTTTCATTTAGCACAATGCCCATGAGATCCATCCAAGTTACATGTATCAACCCTAAGAGACTCTTAACTATAGGGAACAAACTGAGGGTTGCTGGAGGGGCACTGGGCAGGGGGATGGGGTAATTGGGTGATGGACATTAGGAGGGCACTTGATGTAATGAGTATTGGGTGCTATATGCAGCTCATCAATCACTAAATTCTACCCCTGAAACTAATAATACACTATATGGTAACTAAATTGAATTTAAATTAAAAAGTTTTTAAAAAGAAAAAAATTAGTTCATTTCTTTTTATTGTTTTTTTTTTAAAGATTTTATTTATTTATTTGATAGAGACACAGCGAGAGAGGGAACACAAGCAGGGGGAGTGGGAGAGGGAGAAGCAGGTTTCCTGCCGAGCAGGGAGCCCGATATGGGGCTCGATCCCAGGACCCTGGGACCATGACCTGAGCTGAAGGCAGACACTTAACAACTGAGCCACCCAGTCGCCCCATTTCTTTTTATTGTTGAATATTATTCCATGTTATGGATGTATCACAGTTTGTGAAAGCTGAATAAAAAAAATACATTGTATATGTTTTCCTTCACAGAGGCTGGGAAAAAAATTTTAAGTGTTGCCAAAATAATGTCAGAATACATTTTTTTATATATCAGTGAAATCTTTGAGTTAACTATATTAATCTGCAATTTTTTTCTCTCTCATAGGAATCTTTGCTATAGAGATTTCTGACACACGAAGATTCTTCACATCCTTGGGAAAGGTCAAAGTTACAAACTGATTTTTTTTTTGCTACATGATTGCATTTATCTTTTGAATGCTTGACAATGTTAAATGTATTTATTAACTTTGTGCCTCTGAATCTCTGTTCTCATGTGCCATTTTGCAGTGATCTGAGATGACTTATAAAAACAAAAATGCATATGGCTCTTTCTATCCGTGCAGTAATAGTGAGTGTAAAATCTGCTTACTTCACTATTGAACACTGTTATGTTAACTATCCGGAGTAAATAAAGAAGCTTATAAAAAGAGGGAAAAGTGTTTTTACAAAACTGATTTCCTTTCCTTTCTTGATATCTCAAATAATTGGTTAAATTTTTTCTTTGTGATTTATGCTTTCATTGCTGGAGAAGTTGTGCCAAAATAGGCAAAGTTTACCAATACTGGCCTAGGACCCAATATTCCATTTGGGAACCAACCTGACATAATTTCCAGGCCATAATCTGATTTCAAAGCAGCAGATAGTAGGAGTGTGTCAGAGTTTTTAAATCCATAGTATTGTACCACTAAATAACATACATTTTCTGCAATTGTGTTTACCCGTACTATTTTTAGAAAGGTAGGTGATGCTATATTTGTCAAGAATGTAAGATTTTTTTAAAAATCTGTATTTTAATAAGTTTTCTTTAAAATATTAAAGTACTGCAATCAACTTAATTGCCATTTTATTTATTTTTTTGCCTGTTGCAGGTGTCTGTAATGTAGAGCAACAAGTTTAGTGATGTTTTCTTATTTCTCCTAAAATTTCCTAAATCTTTTACCTTTTCTCTCCATAGGCTTTGATTTAATGTTGATATTAAAGCCTGACACTACTGTATTTTATTGATTGATATGAGCTATTTGTATTCTTGCCATTTTAATAAAAAAAAACCAAGTCCTGTCATTAATAATATTCATATGAAGTAGACAATTTCTCATTTTATGGGGTTACTATGCAGTATCACTACAGTAGGACAGTGCCCTGATTTAGGTCTTGTTTAATCACTAGCGCTCTGATATTTTACTATAAATTCATGCTATAAATTCACTTTAGTTTGATTTTAAAAAACCTTGAGGTTTACCTATCTAGCTCAAGACAGTCATTATAGATTGGTTTTAAAAAAATTGAATAATTTTTTAAAATAAGATGTCCTTTTTTATAAACATATTAGAGAATAATATACAAAAAAGTTGTTCTTTCTAATGTTAAGTAATATACTGATAAATATGTGAAATTAACCTTTGGTAGGTGATACAATGACCTAAGCACTAGGTCACCACAGCATTAATTTTAGTCTATGTACCTCCTAGAAGAGCTGACAAGGAGTTGAGTGTCACCTGTCATTTGTATTTAACATATGTTGTATGTTGAGGGCAGTATGTGGGGAGAGGAACATAAGAGACTAGGAATGAAGTATGTGAGAAAATATTTCCATACTTGATTAGAAGTATACTGTACTTGACTTTTGCTGTTAATTACAGAATATTTAAAGGAAAATTATATGCTAATTATGAAGGGGTCAACATTTTCCAAAGGTTGGGAAACTGCAACTGTATTCTATGTTAAAACTCAAAGAAAGGATTTTTTCTTATGGTAGTATTTAAGAACACATATCATTTTAAATGAGATTCTAATCACTTGAGATAAATATATAATAGCCTACTGATATGGTAGAGACTACCATAAAATACACAGTGCAAAAACTATAGGAGACATATTCTTTTCTTAATGACAAAAAAATCTGAAAAAGAGCTCTCAGCTTTGAAATGTCATGTTCAGTACAAAGCACCCACTCTTGCTGAAGTAAGGGTGTTTTGAAAGAAGATTGTTAACCCTCCAAGTTAAATATCTCATGGGCGTTGTGTTTCATTCAGTACATCTAAAATAAATTCAACAATGTCTCCCCCTTGTATCCTCTATCTTTGTTTCCCATGGTAGAGTGTCATCAGCTACCATGTCGGATGCCTGAGCCCTGTGCCCACATGCCATCTCTGGTCACTCATTCCCCTCTCACTGCACACATTCAGTCAACTTCTTACTACACAATATTGCTGAAAGAAATTAACGAAGACCTAATTAAGTGAAAAGACTTCCCACATTCATGGATTAGAAGGCTTAATATTGTTAAGATGGCAATATTCCCCCAAACCATCTTCAGGTTAAATACAATCCTTATCAAAATCCCAGTGGAGTTTTGTTTGGTTTTGTTTTTGTAGAAATGGAAAAGCCAATCTTAAAATTTATATGGAATTGCAAGGGATCCAGAATAGCCTAAACAGTCTTGAAACAGAAGAACGAAGTTGGAGGATCCACATTTCCCAATTTCAAAAGTTACTACAAAGCTGCAATAATCAAAATAGTGTAGTATTGGCATAAGGACAGACATATGGATGAATGGAATAGAACTGAAAGTCCAAAAATAAACCCATCATCTATGGTCAATTGATTTTTGACAAAGGTGCCAAGACCATTCAATGGAGAAAGAATAGTCTCTTCAACAGTGATGCTGGAACACCTGGATAACCACACGCAAAAGAGTGTAGCTTGGGGCGCCTGGGTGGCTCAGTTGGTTAAGCGACTGCCTTCGGCTCAGGTCATGATCCTGGAGTCCCGGGATCGAGTCCCGCATCGGGCTCCCTGCTCGGCAGGGAGTCTGCTTCTCCCTCTGACCCTCCTCCCTCTCATTCTCTCTCTCAAATAAATAAATAAAATCTTTAAAAAAAATTTTAAAAAAAGCTAAAGTCTTTAAAAAAAAAAAAAGAGTGTAGCTTGACCCTTACACACCACATACAAAAATCAACTCAAAATGGATCATAACTTAAATTTAAGTGCTAACTACAAAACTCTTTGAAGAAAAGAGAGACAAATCTTCATAGCCTTGAATGACAAGCAACAACACGAATAGATAAATTGGACTTCAGAATTAAAATCTTTGTGCACCAAAAGGCACTATCAAGAAAATGAAAGATAAATAATTGGACAAAATTTTCACAAATCATGTATCTTATAAGGCTGTTAATATCCAGAAAAATAATTTTTACAACCTGACAACAAAAACCAACCCAATTTAAAAATGGGCAAAGGTGGGCGCCTGGGTGGCTCAGTTGGTTAAGCGACTGCCTTCGGCTCAGGTCATGATCCCAGGGTCCTGGGATCGAGTCCCGCATTGGGCTCCCTGCTCTGCGGGGAGCCTGCTTCTCCCTCTCCCACTCCCCCTGCTTGTGTTCCCTCTCTCGCTGTGTCTCTCTCTGTCAAATAAATAAATAAAATCTTAAAAAAATAAAAAATAAAAAATAAAAAAATAAAAATGGGCAAAGGACTCGAATAGGCAGTTCTCTAAAGAAGGTATACCAATAGTCAATAAGTATATGCAAAGATACTCATTCTCATTAGTTATTAGGGAAATGGAAATCAAAACTACAATAACATATCACTTCATGTGCACTAGGATGTCTATCATAGGAAAGATAGACAATAACAAATACTGATGAGGATGTGGAGAAATTGGAACCCATTGCTGGTGGAAATATAAAATGGTGCAGCCACTGTGGGAAACAGTTGAGTGGTTCCTTAATAAATTAAACATAGAACTACCATATGACCCAGCAATTTGACTCCTAAGTATATATCCAAAAGAATTGAAAAAGTATTCAAACAAATATTTGTACATGAATTTTCATAGCAGCTCTAATTCAAAATAAGCAAAAGGTAGAAACAACTCAAATGTCCAACAACTGATGCATGAATAAACAGAATGTGATACATCCCTACAGTGGAATATTAGTCATAAATATGAATGAATTACTGATACATGGATAACCCTTGAAAACTAAGTAAAGGAATCCAGACATAAAACCACATATTTTAAGATTCCATTCATATGCAGTATCCACAATAGGCAAATCCATAGAGACAGAATGCAGATTAGTGGCTGCCATAGGGCAATGGGGAGGGTCTGCTTAGTGGGGACACGGTTTCTATTTAGGGTGATAGACAACTTTTAGAACAAGATAATGGTAATGGTTATACAACATTACAAGTGCACTTAATGCCACTGAATTGTACAATTTTAAATGGTTAAAGTGGTAAATATTATGTATATTTACCACAATAAAAAAGTCATTTTCTCAAGTTTTCTCTGACTCCTGACATTGGTCTAACTGGGTCAGATTCTAAAACATCCAGTATTTCTCCTTTAGAGGACAGTTATAATTATTTGTGTAAGTATTTTTCTTGTATCTGTCTTCTGTACTGTAAGATACATCAAGGCAAGGGATGATATCTACCTTCACCATTGTATCTCCTAGAGTGTAACACAGTGCTTGACACATACTAGGTATTCTATAAATTCTTCTGGAACAAATAAAAGAATGAATTATCCCCAATTCCTGGCAAGTCTATCTCATAAATATCTTTGGAATGAATCTACTTTTTTCTCACTGTAATCCAGACCATAATAACCCTTAATCTAGAATAATGCAACTGCCTTCTATTTGCTCTCTCTTCTTTCAGTCATACTTCCATTTAATCCATTCTGTACATCATAATCAAAGAAATAGTTTTATAACACAAATACAATCACATCCCTCTCCACACACATACCCTGTGAGTACCAAATCTGGCATAATACTAAAGTCCAAGCTCTTTAACATTGCCCTCACAGGCCTCTCTGATTTGGTTCTTTTTTTATCTCTTGACTGTCATAACTCATCCCTCCTACATTACAATTATATATTATAGTTATTCTGAATTACTTTCAGCACTTGGAACAGTTTATGCTCTTTTATCTCTTGGCCTTTGCGCATGCTCTTTCCTCTGCCTGGATCACTCATTTTTTCCTCTCCCATTCCCCTTCCCAGCCTGGAAAAGTCTTGTTTGGCTTAACATTGTGTCCTCAGCCCCTGTCATAGTGCCTGGCACTTAGTATGTGTTCAACAAGTATTTCCTTTAAAAAATGAAAAGAACATGTCTATGTTCTATGTATTCTTCTATTTGTTATTAATTTTACTTATCCTTTGTGCTCCATTGTATTCTTATTATGTGGTCTTGTTTGTATGACATACCTGCTAGACTGTGAGCTCCATGAAGGCAAGGAGAATAGTCTGATTTATTTATCATGGTACAGAATATGCTAGGATTATGGTGGCTTCCAGTTGGTATATATTCATTGAAAGAATATAGAATGTAGGTGGTTAAAAATCATAGGTTTTAGAGTCACACTGCTTGACTCTGAATCATGTCTCTACACTTACTAGCTGTGTACTTGATTAAGTTGAATTTTCTGAACTTTTTTCCTTATTTGTAAAAGATGAGTCTATAATAGTACCCAGCTCAAAATAGTAACATGTGGATTAACTGAGATAATAATATATCTAGAGTGTTTAGTCTCAGTACAATATCAGACAATATAGTAGATGGTCAGTAGATGTTTTATTATTTGTTGAATTAATAAAGAAATCTATAGGTTTGAGACTTAAGAGAGAAAACTTGGCTGGAGAAAAAGATTTGGTAGTCCTCAGCAGGTATGGGATAAGAGATCAAACAAATGAAAAACAAGGTAGGGAAAACAGAAAGTAGTTCAAGAAGAGAAAGATTAACCATGGTTTACCAAATGGCTTCAGTTGTAAATAGTACATCATCATCATCATCATCATGTGAATGCCAAATATAAATCTAAGCAAAATTACAAAATTAATTAACGAGAAGATGAAGGAAGAGGAAAGAAGCAATGTGTGATGAAAACCTGGGAAGGAACTAAAGCTAAATTTTCTTCTTTCATAGTGGGAAGTGAATAGATAATGCCTAACTGAAAAATCAAGAAATAACAATATAGGTATGTTATTTAGAGACAAGGATACCTAAACAATCAACTAAAGAGGTAAAAATGATTGCCTTTGGGAGAAGGGAATGCCAAGGTGAGAATGAGGCTGGCTGAAGACTGTTGTCTTTAATAACCTTGAAGAACTATTTGAATCTTTTATAATATTAATTAAAATAAAAACAAAATGCATAAATATTAACTTTTTATATTCTTTTGTTTTAAGAGAGAAGACGAGAGATAGGTCAATAGCTAGAAGGCGTTTGAAGTCTCTAATCCCATCAGCTCTAAATTATTTTACCCTTCTCTGACCTCCCATTAAAATGCTTAACCCTTTTAAGCAGGTATCACGTAATTAATTGCCTTGTATTACATCTACTTGTCTTCATGTTTTCATTTTCTAATAGACTTTGGATATTTTGAGGTGAAAGAATATATTTTTACTCATTTATCTTTATTCCCAGCCTTTGCCTATTCAAAGCAGTGCTTCATACATGACAGGTAGTCTTTAAATGTATGTTGAATGGATGAAAGTATATTTAACTATGTCCCCACTTCATTTGTTTTTGCTTTGTTTTATCAGATATACTTGGACCCATTGTTTAAATTTTTGCATTTCTCACCATGCTGAAAATGTAAGTAATTGTTTAATAAATGCTAGGGTGAGTAACAGGTGCAGTATCAGATCTCTAAATTTTGAACTAGATAACCAACTTTATCAACATGCCAAAACTAGTTTTCTAAAACAACCTACATCATTCTAATGTTCTAGAGAAATAAAGTGCAACACTTTTATACCTTTTATACCTGTACAGCACTCTAAGTATCTTCATTTACTTAATAAGTGTTCTCTTATTTGTATACATCAGGGCTTATTTGTGATGTTCTCTGGTACTGAGAATATATACTTTGTTCCTGTCCCTAAAAACATTTCCTCTGAGTCAGAACTACAGTTCTTCCCTCTTGCCCTGTTCTTCCTTTTAATGACTTTATTGAGATATAATTCATATACCATATAACTCACCTATTTAAAGTATATAACTCAATGGTTTTTAGTATATTCACAGAGTTGTGCAACCATCATCACAATCTAATTTTAGAATATTTTCTTTCATCTCAAAAGAAACACCATACCCATTAACAATCACTCACTCCCTATTCCCCTACACACACTCAACCTTAGACAACAACTAAGTATCTTGCTGTTTCTTTTATTTGCCTATTCTGGACATTTCACATAAAAGGAACCATATGACATATGGTGTTTTGTGACTGCCTTCTCTCACATAGCATAATGTTTTCAAGGGCTTTCTATATTATAACAGGTATTGGTACTTCATTTTTATTGCTGAATTGTATTGCATTGTATGGATATACTGTATCTTCATTTATCCAATCAGGAGTTGATGAACATTTGGATTGTTTCCACCGTTTGGCTACTATGAATAGCCATTCATGTATGAGTCTTTGTGTGGACATATGTTTTCTTTTCTTTTTTTTTTTTTTTAAGATTTTGTTTATTTATTTGACAGGGAGAGAGAGAGATCGAGAGCACAAGCAGGGGGGAGCCACAGAGGGAGAGGGAAAAGCAAGCTCTTCACTAAGCAGGTAGCCTGATGTGGGGCTTGATCCCAGGACCTTGGGATCATGATCTGAGCCGAAGGCAGACGCTTAATCGACTGAGCCACCCAGCCGCCCCAGACATATGTTTTCTAAATATATCTAGGAGTGTACTTCCTGGGTCATATAGTAATATTTTTAGGAATCTCCAATCTGTTTTTCAAGCAGTTTTACTATTTTACATCCCTATCAGCAATGTTTGGGGGTCCGATTTCTCCACATCCTCGCTAGTACTTGTTATTATCTATCTTTTTTAAAAAAAGCCATTTTAGTGGGTGTAAAGTGGTATTGTTTTGATTTGTGTATTTCCCCAATGGCTATTGGTAATGAATATCTTGTCATGTGCTTATTTGCCATTTATATATCTTTGGAGAAATGTCTATTCAAATCCATTGCCTATTTATTAACTGGGTTATTTTTATTGTCAGGTTGTAAGTTTTCTTTATATATTCTGGATACTAGACCCTTATCAGATATATAATCTGCAAATTTTTATTTCATTCTGTTGGTTGCCTTTTCACTTTCTCAGTGGTAACACATAGTTCATAGCTTTTAATTGGTAAAGTCCAATTTATGTATTGTTTTCTTTTGTTACCTATACTTCTGGTGTTCTATCTAAGAAACCATTGCCTAACTCAAAATCATGAATGCAGTTTCTTATGTTTTCCTTTTTTTTCCTTTTGGTTTTTTATGGGATTTTTTGGGGGGGGGTATAGTCCCAATAGTTTATTTTTACTTTTGTTTTCCTTGACTGAGGAAACATATCCATAAATATGTTGCTAAGACCAATATCCAAGTGATTACTGCCTATGTTTTCTTTTAGGAGTTTTAAAGTATCAGGTCTCACATATAAAGGCCATATATGAAAGACCCACAGCTAATATCATCCTCTATGGGGGAAAACAGAGCTTTTCCCCTAAGGTCAGGAACAAGAGAGGGATGTCCATTCACCACTGTTTTTATAATACTGGAAGTCCTAGCCTCAGCAATCAGACAACAAAAAGAAATAAAACTGGCTTTATTTTTTGAGTTTATTTTGCGTACAGTGTAAGAAAGTGGTTCAGTTTCATTCTTTCACATATAGTTGTCCAGTTTCTCCAACACCATTTATTGATTGATTTTTTTAAATTTTTAATGATTTATTTTTGGTTTTATTTAAATTCAAGTTAGTTAACATATAGTGTATTATTAATTTCAGGGTAGAATTTAGTGATTCATCAGTTGCATATTACACCTAATGCTTATTACATCAAGTGCCTTCCTTAATGCCGATTACCCAATTACTCCATCTCCCCACCGACCTTCTCTCCAGCAACCCTCAGTTTGTTCTCTATGGTTTGTCTCCCTGTTTTTATCTTTTATTTTTCCTTCCCTTCCCATATGTTCATCAGTTTTGTTTCCTAATTCAACATATGAGTGAAATCATATGGCATTTGTCTTTTTCTGACTGACTTATTTCGCTTAGCATAATACCCTGTAGTTCCATCCATGTCGTTGCAAATGGCAAGATTTCATTCTTTTTCATGGCTGAGTAATATTCCATTATATATCACATCATCTTTATCCATTCTTCCATCAGTGGACATCTGGGCTCTTTCAATAGTTTGGCTGTTGTGGACATTGCTGCTATAAACACTGGGGTGCATGTGCCCCTTCAAATCACTATGTTTGTATCCTTTGGATAAATATCTAGTAGTGCAATTGCTGAGTTAGAAGGTAGCTAGCTGCACCAGTTTACATTCCCAGCAACAGTGCAAAAGAGTTCCCCTGTCTTCGCATCCTTCCCAACATTTGTTGTTTCCCGAGTTGTTCATTTTAGTCATCCTGACAGGTGTGAGGTGGTATCTCATTGTGGTTTTGATTTGTATTTCCCTAATACCAAGTGATGTGGAACATTTTTTCATGTGTCTGTTAGCCATTTGTACGTCTTCTTTGGAGAAATGTCTTTTCATGTCTTCTGCCCATTTCTTGACTGGAGTTTTTGGGGTTTGGGGGTTGAGTTTGATAAGTTCTTTATAGATTTTGGATACTGGCCCTTTATCTGATATATCATTTGTGAATATCTTCTCCCATTCTGTAGGTGGCCTTTTAGTTTTGTTGACTGTTTCCTTTGCTGTGCAGAAGCTTTTTATCCTGATGAAGTCCTAAAAGTTCATTTTTGCTTTTATTTCCATTGTCTCTGGAGATGTGTCTAGCAAGAAGTTGCTGCAGCTGAGGTCAAAGAGGTTGCTGCCTGTGTTCTCCTCTAGGATTTTGATGGATTCCTGTCTCACATTTAAGTCTTTCATCCATTTTGAATTTATTTTTGTGTATGGTATAAGAAAGTGGACCAGTTTCATTCTTCTGCATGTGGCGATCTAATTTTCCCAACACCATTTGTTGAAGAGACCATCTTGTTTCCATTGGATATTCGTTCCTGTTTGTCAAAGATTAGTTGACCATAGAGTTGAGGGTCCATTTCTGGGTTCTCTATTCCATTCCAATGATCTATGTGTCTGTTTTTGTGCCAGTACCATACTCTCTTGATGATTCCAGTTTTGTAATAGAGCTTGAAGTCCGGAATTGTGATGCCTTCAGCTTTGGTTTTCTTTTTCAACATTATTTTGGCTATTCAGAGTCTTTTCTGGTTCCATACAAATTTTAGAATTGTTTGTTCCAGCTCTGTGTAAAATCCTGGTGGTATTTTGGTAGGGATTGTATTGAATGCATAGATTGCTTTGGGTAGTATAGACATTTTAACAATATTTGCTCTTCTGATACATGAGCATGGAATGTTCTTCTATTTCTTTGTCTTCCTCAGTTTCTTTCATAAGTGTTCTATAGTTTTCAGACTACAGCTCTTTTACCTCTTTGGTTAGGTTTATTCCTAGGTATCTTATGGATTTTG